CCCTTTGCTAAATCCCCCCCTTAATAACAGTGTGGCAGGCCAAAGATTCTTAAAGGAACCGCTGCAGGCCTGACACTATGTTCACTCCAGGGATGGGTTTCAATTTTTTTTATTACCGGTTCTGTGGGTGTGGCTTATTTTGTGGGCATGGCTTAGTGGTCATGTGACTGGGTTGGAGTGGCTTGGCAGTCATGTGACTGGATGGGCGTGGCCAACTCAATGTCACTCACATCGCCTGGCCCCTCCCCGCCCAGCCATTCCTTGTCACACCCAGCCTCAACATATCTATAGTTCTGTAAAAATGTTGTTCATCTTTTTTCAACTTTATTATCTACATACTGTAAGGTTTGAGAATACGATCCATAGAAGTTTGAGAATACATGAAAGTGACAATGAGCCAAAATGAGACTTTGACGGAAGCTTGAATAACAATCAGCATTTAAACTTTGATCAAAGTTAAAAGACATGATGGTCAGTTGTTCCAAACATACCTATGTAGGAAAGAACTACACTTCAGAGGAGGTGTAACTCCTTTTTATAAAGTCAGAAATGCCATAAAATGGCTTCCTAATTAGATTTGTGTATTCTTGCAAAAAGGATAGAATACTCCTTATCAGCCTTATCTCTTTCTTTTGTTCTCACGATTGGCCATTTGGCCCCCTGTTGTGAAGGGAACAGATCAAAGGTGAGAAACATTCTTAGGCAGAAGGGGGGGGGAGGCTCTGATCAAAGATGAGACATATGTTTTGACAAATGCTCACATCTTCACCTGAAGGCATCGCTGGCAGCCACTTCCTGCTGAAGTCTGTGCTCTTCCCGCTGCTGCTTGGCCTCCTCGATGTACGGAGGCAGGAGGTGGCAGTTTCGTCCATTGCCTGCAAGCTCCGGGGGGTGAGCAGCCGAGAGAGCAAGTCATGATCTGCCAGCTGGCTCTAATCTGTAGCTTATTCGTGAACACATTTACTCATGAGCATGGTGCTCACGAGTAAACTGCAGATTATAGGCAGCTGGTGCAGGCACTACACCTGAAGGGCAGGAAGCCTTTGGCAAAGGTGGTGCCAACTCTGCTCTGCAGTGCTGGGGACCCTGCTGGCTTTTGGGGCTGCTGTTCGCCATATCCTGGCCAAAGCCATGTGGGAAAACCCGGGAATTCTGAGACGCCTCACCACTGCTGCCACCACCTTGGCTGGAATGGGGCACTGCCCACCGCTGCTGCTGCTGCCACCACTGCCCTCTCCTGCCACTGCCACTGCCCTCTCCTGCCACCATCCTTTTCCTCTACCATCGTCCTCTCTAGCATGCAAAGCTTGCAAGGCTGCTCCCATCCCCGCCACAGTGCTAACTTGTGTGTAGGCAGGAGTAGGCAGAAGGAGGCAGTAGTTGCATGTGGCAAAGGCAAGGCAGTGCAAGCGTCAGAGCGGGCATACCACTTGGGGGCATGGCCAACCAGCGGTCACTACCAGTTCTGCAACCCAGGCTGCCATACCACTACCGGTTCCACGAACCAGTCCAAATCAGTAGGAACCCACCTCTGGTTCACTCCTGAATTACAGAAGTTTAACAATTTTACTTTAAGGAAGGGTTTACAACTGAAGTATAATATCCAACTTTAACTAGACATGCAATTATAATTATTATATATTTTATGTAAACTGCCTGCTGAAGACAGATGTAAGACAGATTAAAGGAAAAAAGGGTTTCATGCAGCTCTTATTTTCTTAATAATTGATATTTATTTCTTCACAGTTAGCAAAAGCACATTTAATTTTCTCACTGACTAAAAATGA